TAAGTCTGTTGAGTGTACCTGGTAAAGTGTATGGTAGAGTTATAATTGAAAGAATTAAGAGTAAGACGGAGAATAGGATAGCAGATGAACAAGGAGGCTTAGGAAAGGTAGGGGGTGTGTGGACCAGGGTGTTTACAGTGAAACATATAAGTGAACAGTATTTAGATAAGGCTAAAGAGGTCTTTGTGGCATTTATGGATTTGGAAAAGGCATATGACAGGTGGATAGGGGGGCAATGTGGCAGATGTTGCAAGTGTATGGTGTAGGAGGTAGGTTACTGAAAGCAGTGAAGAGTTTTTACGAGGATAGTGAGGCTCAAGTTAGAGTATGTAGGAAAGAAGGAAATTTTTTCCCAGTAAAGGTAGGCCTTAGACAAGGATGTGTGATGTCACCGTGGTTGTTTAATATATTTATAGATGGGGTTGTAAGAGAAGTAATGCGAGGGTTTTGGCAAGAGGCGTGGAGTTAAAAGACAAAGAATCACACACAAAGTGGGAGTTGTCACAGCTGCTCTTTGCTGATGACACTGTGCTCTTGGGAGATTCTGAAGAGAAGTTGCAGAGATTGGTGATGAATTTGGTAGGGTGTGCAAAAGAAGAAAATTAAAGGTGAATACAGGAAAGAGTAAGGTTATGAGGATAACAAAAAGATTAGGTGATGAAAGATTGAATATCAGATTGGAGGGAGAGAGTATGGAGGAGGTGAATGTATTCAGATATTTGGGAGTGGACGTGTCAGCGGATGGGTCTATGAAAGATGAGGTGAATCATAGAATTGATGAGGGAAAAAGAGTGAGTGGTGCACTTAGGAGTCTGTGGAGACAAAGAACTTTGTCCTTGGAGGCAAAGAGGGAATGTATGAGAGTATAGTTTTACCAACGCTCTTATATGGGTGTGAAGCGTGGGTGATGAATGTTGCAGCGAGGAGAAGGCTGGAGGCAGTGGAGATGTCATGTCTGAGGGCAATGTGTGGTGTGAATATAATGCAGAGAATTCGTAGTTTGGAAGTTAGGAGGAGGTGCGGGATTACCAAAACTGTTGTCCAGAGGGCTGAGGAAGGTTTGTTGAGGTGGTTCGGACATGTAGAGAGAATGGAGCGAAACAGAATGACTTCAAGAGTGTATCAGTCTGTAGTGGAAGGAAGGCGGGGTAGGGTCGGCCTAGGAAGGGTTGGAGGGAGGGGGTAAAGGAGTTTTGTGTGCGAGGGCTTGGACTTCCAGCAGGCATGCGTGAGCGTGTTTGATAGGAGTGAATGGAGACAAATGGTTTTTAATACTTGACGTGCTGTTGGAGTGTGAGCAAAGTAACATTTATGAAGGGATTCAGGGAAACCGGCAGGCCGGACTTGAGTCCTGGAGATGGGAAGTACAGTGCCTGCACTCTGAAGGAGGGGTGTTAATGTTGCAGTTTAAAAACTGTAGTGTAAAGCACCCTTCTGGCAAGACAGTGATGGAGTGAATGATGGTGAAAGTTTTTCTTTTTCGGGCCACCCTGCCTTGGTGGGAATCGGCCGGTGTGATAATAATAAAAAAAAAAAAAATGTACCTGTGCCTAAATAAGCTTATTTACTCACCACGAAATGAGAATATAAGAATACTTTTTCAAGGCTGAGGTACTGATAACCTCGTCTTTATTCTTAAGTTCATGTGTGTGTATTGTATCAATAAAGCCACTGGTTGGCAAAATGTTTATAAAGTAAACCACGGAATGGGTGAGTTTTGAATCCATGGCAAGTGAGGCCTTATTATCTCCCATTACCCAGGATCTGTATGACCATGATAGGTTTAGCACTTTCCTGTGAATATAATAGTCTGAGTGTCAGAAGAAGGAAAGGAATCCTTTTGAGGATCCCAGAGGAAATGAAATCACTTTGACTTTTTGGGGGGTTATCCTAGGTAATTTACACATGTTAAAGTATGCAATAAAATCACAGTAAACAGGTGATATCACAATAAAATAATCACAATGAAAATTAATAGTGAAATTCCAGGTGTTTCTGTAATTTCTCACATTATCAATCAATAGTAAAAGTAATACTATTCCTTGATAATGTGAGAAACCACAAAAGTGCTTGGAATTTCACTATACGTACATGTATTTTTCACTTATTATTTTGCATGTTCTGTCAGCATAGTTGCTGATCCCCTTCATGTGTTGTATAGCTTATCTGAGTACCATAGTTAGCACCAGCCATATGTTTTACATACACGATCCCTTGCTAGACCTAGGGACTAGTTTGTGTGACGTCACGTGATGCACATGTGTACGTGAGAACCTCGGTAACCTCCTCAGTCCCGGTAGGTCTACGGAAGGTAAGAGATGGCAGGCTGGACAAGCTCTCCCACTACCCCTTTATACTCCAGTGTGTTAACTACACCCGTCTATCCCCTTACGACAAATTGGTGACAGCGGTGTGGGCGTAAAATTGATAATTATGCCGATGCACGGAGATTAATTTCTACTGAGCAGGCCACCATTTCGTGACCGGCGTCTAAGCGTCCCGAGACAGGTGTTTCCATCCCAAGCCCCACATCCAAGCATCCACCAGCCTGTTTGCTTCCTATTTTACTGGTCAGTCTCTGTGTATTAGTGTTTATTTGCATTACTTCCGAGGGTTGACCAGAGTTTGCAAATTAAGCCAAGCCAGTCTGTGGGAGTCCAACCCAGCCCTACACCATTCCAGCTTTGCCTGCTAAGCCAGCTTTCCACTCCTGCTGTGCTCATCATTAAAAGTTCTCAAGCCAGTCTGTGTGAAGGGTTAAGCCAAGCAAGTCAGCAACTAACCCAGGTGTCCTACCCCAGTACTCAAGCAAGCCACGTGGGTACAGTCTCCTCCATCGCTCTGTGCTTCAAGTTCCAAGCCATTCTGAGTGCTTTATCATCTCTATGGTGTTGTGGTATTTTGTGGGTTTTTTTAAGCCAGCCCGGCTTCGAATATTTTCGTGCCTAGTGTGGGTGTCCAGTGGCTTACGCCCCTCATCCCATAAGCCCAGTCACCACGCGCTGCCTCAAGCACTCGCCCACCACCACCACTGTTTTTTTTTACCCTTATCACGGGTTCTAACACCATATTTTACGGACCACATAGAGGGTCAAGAGCCAGGTGTGTTCCTTCGTCAGTTTGTGCCATCGTAAAAGCCTCCTGTGAGAGTTCATCGTCGATTTAAGTGGAAATTCTTCGAGGCGTCATCGTGTGGAATGGGAACGCTGTCAACCACCATCCTCCACCGTCCACCTCATTCTACAACGTCGCTACAGTGTTAATGAATTTTTTTTTTCATGCACATTTGCGTGCGTTGAGACAATTTTCTTGACAGTGATTTCTTAGTGACATTCATTGACTCTTGATTAGACTGTGTTCATTATATACTATTTGCAATATTTTTTTTTTCTTCAGTGTTAATTTTCGTGCTTTATTTTTTCTTTTTTATATATATACTTAAAGTAAGTACCTTAATGTTTTTCCTTGTATGCAATATATAAGCAGTATAAACTTGTGTTTACACTTCACAATTATCTTGTGTTCACAGTATTGTGTTCCTTGCCTCGTAATTTATGCATTGAAGTAATTCAGTAACTTATCTTATACTCTGCATCACAACTCAGTGTTGTCTTTTTTTTTTTTTTCATTCATTTGCCATTTTATTTTTTTTTTTGTGTTGAACATTCTTGTGTTAATTCATTTAGCCACTGTCTAATTTGTCTTATCTCCACAGACAATACCCCTCAAGGAAGGTTTCTTGATGTTGGTGAGGGGCTTTTTATTTAGGGAATTGGCAGCTCCCCGAATTAAGCCTAAATGCCTTCCACATCCCCCCCCCAGGCGCTGTATAATCCTCTGGGTTTAGCGCTTCCCCCTTGATTATAATAATAATAATAATCCACAGACAATAGTGCCATTATTTTGTTTGAAGCAAGAGAATTAATTTCCAATTTTTTTCAAACCTCAAGTCTCATTACAGAATAATTTCTTAGCAGTTTTACATATATACTTCACAAGTTTCACTTAGCTCATTGCAGACAGACAGTACAAGCTGCAGAAGAAGATAGACCTTTGTCTATGATGATTTCACTAAGTTTTTTTTTCATTTTTGTCAGATCTCCATAAATATCCAATTAAATGTCCAGAATCGTGGTCTTCTTCCTTGGCTTAGGACCATCAGGGCAATTCTTTCTACCAGTGGATGTATACTGCTTGACATGATTAGTCGTTAAATAGTGTTGAAATGGGGCAGAAGTTTTGAATAACACAAACGCAAAACATTTATTCTTCCCTATTTTTTAAAAAACGAAATGAAGTCTTGGCACAAGTCTACTCTAAATAGTAGCTAGCCAGGCAGGTAGCTCGCCTCATTGTTAAAAACCTAACACTGCTTTATCTCTGGCCTGATTTAGGTTTTGCCACAAACATTGAACCAATAGATGAGGTACATGAATGCTAGTTGAAATCAGGGCAAGTTACCTCTCTTTTCCCTCCTGCCAGTTCTACGAGGTATTTGGAATTGGGTCAGTTTATTTTAAGGTAAGGAATGCTTCTTTAGGTCTGATCTATAGTAGAGGAAGTGGGGGAGGATTATTTGTAGGCATATAGTAGATCCTGCATGGAAAAATTAAGGTTTCAGCTGACCATCCAGTGTTGACTTGAAAAAGTTATTTCCAGTCTAAGAAGTGATGTCTTGGACAACTGCAGGGTCAGGGTTTCCTGAACCATTAAGAGGTCTATGTGATTAGTATGTCTATATATGAAGGGATACTGTTATTTTATGTTGATTTGAAGATTAAATAGATGAAAGTAGCTTAGTCTAGATCAAGATATGTATTTCCAACCAATTAGCTGTACTGCTTTAAAGCAAATTCTTGCTTTGAGACAGATATCCAGATCTTGGTATACTGTACTGTCTACTTACCAGTTGATAACCAGGATCATTGTCCAATATCTGGCTGCCTCAATGATCTGAGTACTGTATCACCCTTTTTATTTCTTAAATTCTTTCTGAACAGAATCTGAAGACTCGTCACCAGAGATGCGACCACCTGCAAGGCGAGTTACTCGACCCACTGTTACTGGTACTGTACACATTGTAGGTAACCTACTAGTTTGTTGCAAATCATGACAAATAGCCTATAACTGACTTAACAAAGTTAACTTTTATATAACCTTTGGCTTTGCTGTACATAATTCTTTGTAAATTATTTTATAGTTAATATTTTTTAATTTTTTTGCAGATCAGCTTCTATGGCTAATATATCAGTGAATGACTAAGAGATTGGAATTCTAGCAAGAGTAGCTTAGCTCAGTCAAAGATAGGAGCATCAACATTCAATTTTTCTGGCAGCCCTTCAAGCAGCTTCTGCTCTGTCATCTGGTAAGTATTACAGCAGTGGTGTGTGGGTAACCTCATCTCATTACACCTTTAACTCTTACCTTGTAAATTATTTTATGTATGTTTCCAACATTTTTTTTTTTATTTAGCTACATGACAAAACCCCTAGTGAACTGTACTAATGGAGCAAATAATGGGGGCCGACTCCACCAGTTCAAGTTATTCAAACTTCTGGAGAGAGAGAGAGAGAGACTTAAATGGCCACTTTTGACAGCTCTAAAATGCAACTCGCAAAATCCAGTTAGCTCCTTATGTTAGGTGAATAGGTGTATATAATGCTTCTTGCTTCAGGATCTTAATAGTGCAGTCTATAAACTGCTTAATTGGTGCTGTTTCATTGATGTACCTCAACTCGTGCCTATGTAGATGACTGCACTCATTTACTTAAGCAAGAGAGGAAATGATAGCTGCTCATAGGAATATTTTTCTTAAATAGAGGTAGATCAATGGAGTGAATTACAAGAGGATGTAGTAAGTCCCTCAACCATTGAAAATTTAAGTAAAATTACATAATGAACAAATTATTAGATGGGACACCCTGAGCATTGCTCTGCTCCTGTAGGTACAAATAGGTAATTACATCAATCCATTACTGTATATCAACCTGATAAAAATGATAACAGGTTATATTTGCTTCTGAGAAAACAAAAGATGGTGATGCCTAGACAAGTTACTAAAGCAACTGTAGTGAGAATTAATGGAAGTCATAGAGCCCAGCTGTGAAGTTGATATTCTTGGGGTGATGTGTGACTTGGCACCTTGGCCAGGTGTTACATAAGCCAGACTATGGTAGCTATATAGGCTAGCAAGCCATTAGCAGCAACAGCCTGGTTGACCTGGCAGTCAACAAGGCTAGTAAATGATGTGGTGATACCAACAAACTGAGTTCTAAGAACACTTGTGTACAGTTCAGAACATTTATTAAAGGAAGACTTTTGCCATGAGTGGCTTCATGTCCTGGTCACTGCTGTCTTCCCATTGTGGATGAGGATATTCTTGGCCAGGAATTTGATACATGGGGTTTCTCATCAGTTATTGGTTTTTGTTTCTTTGGGAAATGGTTATCTAATTTGTTTGGGTAAGCTAAAATTATGTTGCCAAATGCTTACTTATTTCTTGTAAGCTACTGTAGATGTGTCATTAATATAATCTTTGGAGTCAGTGTGGTTACTTTATATTGGGTTGTTTTGTGTAAGCTCATGAATGGGTGGGGGGGGGAGAGAGAATGGGCAAGAGTGAATGGGTGGGGGGGGGGAGGAAGAGGAAGGGGAGAGATAAGGGGGAAGGAGAGAGAAATGGTTGGAGAAAGAGAACGAGAAAATGAGAGAATGAGAATAAGAGTGAGAATGGACGAGAGAATTGAATAGAATCAATGAGAATGTATAGATATTGAAAGATATATAATGAGGGTAAGAGAGAGGAGACTACAATAGGTGTAAGAAAAGGGACAGCGAAAGAATTATTTAGACAGCTGTCGTTAAAAAAATAATTCACAAGATAGACTGAAACCCCAATTTTCTGTGCCATAGATATTTTAAGAGCTTGAAGGTATGCGCACCACATTCTCCTTGTCTCAGTATCCATGGTAAGCAGTGTTAACGCTAGCACTGCTAACGTCAATAATTTAGTTGCCACTCCTAAACATGAATGTATTTTGTGGTATTGAATATTGAGTGGGTAGGTATGATGGAATATTACTGGGAAACATGGCTAGCTTCATACCCACAGTGACTTTCATGGGAAGGGACTTTATGTATTTTTATCATGTATTTAACTCTTGGAGTAGCTTAACAGCACACAACTTGTTTCCTCCTTGTAATTCATGAAATAATTTAACAGCACACTACTTGTTTCCACTATGTAGTTCATGGAGTAACTTAACAGCACTTAGCTTGTACCCTCCATGTAACTCGGAATAATGTAGCTGCACACTGCATATGTTCCCGCTATGTAACTTTAGAATAACAAATCAACACACTGCTTATGTTCCCACCATGTAATTTCTACATAGTGTAAAGTGCACTGCACATGTTCTCACTACATAATTCTTACATGATGGCATAGCAGCACTGGGTGCACTGTTAAATTAAAATGTTTTGGTTAAATGGTAGCATGTGGCACACGAGTGTTGAGTGTATTGGTGTTTGTGGCTAGCCGTGTCACTCAGTGATCACTTGACGACAGTGATGAAAACTCTCTCATGAACCAAATTGACCATACCATTTTTTGTGCTCTCCTTTCCACGATAGGCCAGGCTGATAGTGGCCATCATAGTCTTTATATGAACGTGATAGAATGACTTCCTTATGGTACTAGCTTGTATACTTGTATTTGTAGTAGTAAGTAGTAGTAGTAGTATATGCCAAATATAAGGATTTACATACATTGTGTGTGTGTGTCTGTGTCTCTGTGTCTGTCTGTCTGTCTCTGTCTGTCTCTGTCTCTGTCTCTCTGTCTGTGTCTGTCTGTGCAAGTGAGTGTGTGCATGTGCACATACATATATACACTCTCATAGTTTGTACCGGATCTATAAGTACATCATTTCAAATATTTAGAGGTTATTGACGAGTGCTCACTTAACCTTGATGAACGGACTTGTGTCCTATAGGCCTTTATTATTACTATTATTATATCAAGGGGGAGGTGCTAAACCTGTAGGGGGTCATGCAGTGCATGGGAGTAGAAGGTAATCAGGTTTGATCCAAGGAAACAGTAGCTCCAAATACATGAATTAAACAACCATCCAAGCCCCTCCATTGAAGGGTGGTGGTGGTGAATAAGGAGGAGGAGCCAGTCAAATACAAAGAAAGGGGAGCACTGCAAGGAAGCTAGGTGCCCACAGAGGGAGAGAAAGTGCACAGAGGTGGGGGGAAAGGGGAAGTGGTGAAATAAAGGAACAGAAACACGAGACAGAAGAAAGACAACCCGGAGGAGAAAAAGGAAAGAGGAAAGGGGAAGAGGTAGAAGAAAAAGAAAAAATGAGGAATCAGGTTAAGTCATGGGTGTTCTGAAGTTTGGAGCATTTTACAATGTAGTGGGAGAGGTAGGCACCTACAGAGATGAAGCCAGGACTAAGATTCATACAAGGAAAGTTGTGTATTAGAGAGGATTCAACTAGATGGCGACTGTTAGTTGGAAGTAGGGAAGACAGTCTTCCCTTACTTCCAACTCTAACAGTTGCTGTCTAGTTGAATCCTCTCTAATACACAACTTTCCTTGTATGAATCTTAGTCCTGGCTTCGTCTCTGTAGATGCCTTCCTCTCCCACTACATTGTAAAATGCTCCAAACTTCAGAACACCCATGACTTAACCTGATTCCTCATTTTTTCTTTTTCTCCTCCCTCTTCCCCTTTCCTCTTTCCTTTTTCTCCTCTGGGTTGTCTTTCTTCTGTCTCGTGTTTCTGTTCCTTTATTTCACCACTTCCCCTTTCCCCCAACCTCTGTGCACTTGCTCTCCCTCTGTGGGCACCTAGCTCCCTGGCAGTGCTTTCCTTTGTATTTGACTGGCTCCTCCTTATTCCCCACTATTACCACTGCTACTACCACCACCACCTCCTGCCTATATATAGCCGTCCTGCTCCACTTCTGGTTAGTGTGACTTTGTAAATGGTCCAAGTCGGACCGAAACATCGTCGTAAGCTCCTCTTCTATGTGCGGGTTATTTGTGTATCGTTCCAGTCACGGTATTGTGCCTTTTGTTACCTAATTCATTACTAGTGTGTGGAAGTATAATCAACAGTAACATTTATACTGTATGAGTATGTACAGTATTATTGGTTTTGAACATATCAACCATCTCCCACCAGGGTAGTGTGACCTGAAGATTTTGATTTGTTTACTTTCCGTCTCCCTGCTGTAGGGTCACCTTAATGCAGAGGTGGTGTTTGAGACGTTTGTCTACGGGAAAAAGGCTTCTCTGGGAGGTGGATCCAACTCGATATTGGGTAGTGTTCTGACTAAAAGCCCAGCATCTTTTTTGTTTTTAGCATAGTTTGCTGTTACTTAGTCTATCATTTGGAGAAAAATTTGTGGATATGATTTGTGGATTTTTTTTTTTTTTACACAGGTCGGCCATCTCCCACCGAGGCAGGGTGACCCAGAAAGAAAGAAAATCCCCAAAATGAAAATACAATCATCAGACGAGCCTGGCCCATGGCCGGGCTCAGAGAGTAGGTATACTTTCAAAATTCTTCAAAAGTATCATTCAACACTTTCACCTCACTCACACACAATCGCTGTTTTTGCAGAGGTCCTCAGAACACAACAGTTTAGAAGCATATACGTATAAAGATACACAACATACCCCTCCAAACTGTTAATATCCCGAAACCCCTCCTTTAGAGTGCAGGCATTGTATTTGGAATTTCCAGGACTCGAGTCTGGCTATATAAAAATAACCGGTTTCCCTGAATCCCTTCACTAAATATTACCCTGCTCACACTCCAACAGATCATCAGGTCCCAAATACCATTCGTCTCCATTCGCTCCTATCAAACACGCTCATGCACGCCTGCTGGAAGTCCAAGCCCCTCGCCCCCAAAACCTCCCTTACCCCTTCCTTCCAAACTTTTTGAGGACAACCCCTACTCCGCCTTCCTTCTCCTACAGATTTAAATGCTCTCCATGTCATTCTACTTCGATCCATTCTCTCTAAATGGCCAAACCACCTCAACAACCCCTCTTCAGCCCTCTAATACTTTTATTAACTCCACACCTTCTCCTAATTTCCACACTCCGAATTTTCTGCATAATATTTACACCACACATTACCCTTAGACAGGGCATCTCCACTGCCTCCAACCTCCTCCTCGCTGCTGCATTCACAACCCAAGCTTCACACCCATATAAGAGTGTTGGTACTACTATACTTTCATACATTCCCTTCTTTACCTCCATAGATATCGTTTTTTGTCTCCACATATACCTCAACGCACCACTACCCTTTTTTCCCTCATCAGTTCTATGATTAACCTCATCCTTCATAAATCCATCCGCCGACACGTCAGCTCCCAAGTACAGTAGGGCCCCGCTTTATGGCGTTCCGCTAATATGGTCATTTCAAATTATGACCAAAACTCGCTATACGACTCCCACCACAAGTGACGGCAAGAATAACATTTTCTCTAACATAAGAGAAAATTTGTTACTGGGGGTATCTGTAGAAAATTATTCCTTTCGTATGTATGCAAGTTTATTCAGGTATACACAAATACACTGAAGTTACATAGATTATCATGCATAACAGCACATGTATAAAGAACCTCGGATAACCCAAAAAAGTCAGTGACTTATTTTCATCGCATTCACTCAGAGCGTCATTTCTTCTAAAAATGGTGTTACATGAGAGTGGGAGTGTTCTTCTTTATTTATTCTACTGTATCATTGTAGAGACAACTTGTACACAATGTAACTTGTACACAAACCAGACGTGTACACTTTCATTGTTTACAAAACTTATGTTCGCCTGGTTTGTTTACATAACTCAGCACCTGTCCTCTCTCATGTACTCATTCCCTCTCTCATTTATTCGTTTTATCTCGTTTACTCACTCCTGGCCCTACATTAAGACTACAAATATTTTAAGGTAAGTAATTAGTGAACTGTATATGCATTTTATCGCTCTGGGATGCTTAAATATCATAGAATATACACCTACCATCCGGCTTACGACAGAGTTCGGTTCCGAGAAACCGGTCGTAAGTCGAACTTTGCTACTGAATATCAACATAACATTTTTGCAATGACTTTTTTATTGTTTTATTTTGGTATTTCATGTTTTACTTGACTTTTTATGCTGTTAGTACTGTATTTTATACTGAAAGGTTTAGGATAAACACTGTGTACAACACAAACACTTGTTTATTTCCCAGAAATTTGGCATAAAAAACACGGTCGTAAGTCGAGTCGTCGTAAGTCAAGCAGGTCATAAGTCGGATGGTAGGTGTATGTGTGGGTAGAATGGCCTGGTATGGTAGCCTGGCTGACTACCATACATACCACACTTGATTTCTTACAATAAATACTACTCATCTCACCCTAGATTAAGACTACAAATATTTTAAGTAATGAGTAAACTGTATATGCAGTTTATCACTCTGGGATGCTTAAATGTAATAGAATATTAAGTGTAGGTGGGGTGGCCTGG